TATATATATATATATATATATATATATATATATATATATATATATATATATATATATATATATAAAATAATATATATATAAATGTCTCTCTAATTGACGCTCAGATTGTCCACGAAAATGGGGAATTTGGAAAGAGAAGATACGATTGTTAATACATATTATATATAATATAATCATAACAATGAGGTTCGAATAATCGTTTCTCCCTTTCCATAATAGTCCATTTTTGCTTCCAAACTGAGCATCGATTAGGGAGAATTTACTGTAATTCGCAAATTACATTCGTCTCCGAGACCGATGTAAATTTAACCGTGCACTGCCGTAGAATCGATCGAATACAGTCAATTCCCTTTAATTGACGCTCAGATTGCTCGCAAAAAGGGAGAATTTGGGAAGAGAAGATACGATTGTTAATCAGAGCCTTGCGTCTCGTTTTTATAATTGTTAACGATCGGCAACCATAAAAATGAGCCGCGAGGCTCGAATAATCGTTCTTCCTCTTCTCAAATTGTCTATTTTTGTGCGCAATCTGAGCGTCAATTAGGGAGACATTATTGTATTTTACGGGAAAGTAATTTCGGCATTTTAATGTTAAATAGAACTCAATTATTTTCTCTAGAAAAAGTGAACTTGTAATCGGTCGAATATTTTCCATTCCGTTCGATGACCTCTTTCTGGTAACTTCGCGATTCCGCGCTCGTAGAGCTTGTGATCTCTATCGATAAAAAAAAACTGGATCAAGCGCGATTCGAGGCTGTCGTTATTATTGAAATTTTTACCGTTTAAAAATTCTCTCTTCGCGAGCCTTAGAGAGCTTTATAGAGCTTTCTTGCCTCGATGAAAATGAAAAGGTAAAATATCCATTTGCGCACTCCGCGTTGAAATTGACAGAAAACCATCAGTTGTAAGAAACACTACACGGAATTTTTGTTCTATAGTAACCTGAAAGTGTCTGTTAACTGACAATAATAAAGCTGAAGATAGAACGACGACAAAAGGCCTTGACAATGCGATCAATGTCTATCGCGGTGCAATCCGAAATTACTTTCTTGCCAAGCCAATGAAATCTTTATTCGACGTTGCGTTCAACGATCGATCAATCTTCTACCGCGAAGCGATCTACGACGGTGATGGTAGGGGAGGAGGGGGGGATAACTGAAACGGGGAAGGAACGTTGATCGTGGCAAATTACGGGCGCGAGGAGGAAACGCGGATCGGAAAGAACGGAACGCTTTCGAAAGACCGTCTCCCCGGCTTTAATAATCTCCTCATCGGATTGCGTGTGTACCCTGTCCGACGTTGAAAAATCGGGGCCCGGCACTGTTGCCCGGCCGCTGAAAGGAAGTCTAAGCGGCGCCGTGACGTGCACAATGAAATTAACAGTCGATTTAACGCGGTGAAAAATCGCGGCGGCGAGCCACGACCGTTTGACGGACACGGACAGTCGGGCCGGGGCGCAGTTCTGCTTTCACTTCGCGTTGAAAACCGGCAAAAACCCGGACATATCCGAAGGCGAGCGCCGTGCACGAACGCAATCCCCGCCGGAAACCGTTTGCTCGATTTACTCGTTCCTCCTCTGGCAAATCATTTGCATCGCGGACACACACTATCGCTGATCCGTGCTTGCTCTCGCAACACCCGTTACACTCGCGGCATTTACATGTCTACGCCAATTAATTCCGCTTCTCCTAATGGGCGCGCTTCGATCACTCTCCTCGCACCTTCGAGTGCTTCCATTTTCGACGGAATTTTTATTGATTATTTATTGGTATTTATTGTTATTAATTTTTATTATTATTTATTACGAGCGGAATCGATGATTAGCAGTAGTGGTATTAAACAATCGTGATCGATTTATGGTTGCGAATTTCTGTGCAGTTGAAATTATAGGATGAAATAAGTTGGCCGGGTGGAGCCAGTTACTGTGCGGTAACCAATTACTGCGCCTTGCTGCATGAAAATGCATTTTGAAATGTCGAAGAACGTGTGCGAAAAAAGCAATGAAAAGTTTCATCAGTGTTATACGTTATAAAAGAATTGTTAAATTTATTAATATAGTATAATAATTAATTATTATTATATTAATTATTATTATAATATTAATTATTATATTATATTAATTATTATTATAATATTAATTATTATATTATATATAATATTAATAATATTAATAATAGTATATATATTACATAATATCAATTATTATATGCACAGGCACACAGTAACCGGCTCCAGAATCTTGTCTCCCTCCTAAAATTCAAGGAAAATCCGATATCCGTGCAATTTAACCTTTAGAACCATAAAAAATGTCAATCAAATTGCAAAGATTATTTTCAACAGCGAAAGCTCCTAAAGTCCGTCAACAGGGCACAGTAATAGGCTCCTCTGCCCTACCCGGGTACCAAAGAAACTCTAGTTGTCCAAGAGTTAATCGCTCAGCGTTAAATTAATTAGAGCAATTTAGGGCACTGAGGGGGCGTGTTCTCCAGACAGCGTATTTAAAGAAAGAGCCGAGGGGGATGCAGAGGAATAGTAGTTGGAGCGTTTAGGCAGATCGAATGAAAAGAAAGGAAGGAGGAAACGCCGGGAATATCGATCGGCGTTTTAGCGACGCGAAATGCCAGACAATGGGAAGAGACGTCCGGCGGTTTCTTGGGCCGCGTTTGTCACTAAGGAACCCGGTGATAGGTTCCTTGACATTTGGTCAGGGGACGACATGCAACCGCGTAAACCTCGTTGCCGCAGCCTTTCTAATCAATAGCGGGTCTCGCGAGAGCGCGCGCGCGCGCGCCCGGGCCCCCATAAATCCTGGGCGCAACAAATACGGGTCAGAGCCGGGGCCCGGCGCGTTGTCAGGCCGTATGAAAAATCGTGTATCGTTCGAACGCGTCGCCGGACAGGCCACTGGCCGGGTTTAATTAACGGCGCACAATGGCCCCAACAACTGAAACGCGATTGAGCTCTGTCGCCTCGTGGCGAAACGAACTTGTTCATAGCGTTTTAGGCTCCGGGAAAAATCGATCGGCTCTTTTTGTCGACTCTCCAAAGGCTAAGGGCCGACTGTGCACATGGCCGATCGTTTAGCCTTTGTCGCGTCCCGTAGTCGAATCTCTCGCGTCGATTTGCAACGTTGCGAAGTGCTCGCCGTTGGATTAATCGAGCGCGAATAGAAACGATCGAGCATGGTCGGGGAATTTGCTTTATTTATTATTATTTACTATTATTTGTCTTATTTGAAAATACTTGGTGTCCCAAAAATGTCTCTATCAATTCTCGAGGTGATTTGAAGCAACTTTTTCCTTGGCGAAATTGTTCTACGAGGCTTCGTTTACGAGTTATCAACGAAAAACACTGTCCAATGAGAGGCGAGCACGGCCGGCGCTCCGCCCTCGCGGCCAATGCCGCGTCGCACCGGCCGCCTGACGCAGCGACAGTGGCCACGAGGGCGGGGCGTCAGCGTTTTNGTTGTCAGGCCGTATGAAAAATCGTGTATCGTTCGAACGCGTCGCCGGACAGGCCACTGGCCGGGTTTAATTAACGGCGCACAATGGCCCCAACAACTGAAACGCGATTGAGCTCTGTCGCCTCGTGGCGAAACGAACTTGTTCATAGCGTTTTAGGCTCCGGGAAAAATCGATCGGCTCTTTTTGTCGACTCTCCAAAGGCTAAGGGCCGACTGTGCACATGGCCGATCGTTTAGCCTTTGTCGCGTCCCGTAGTCGAATCTCTCGCGTCGATTTGCAACGTTGCGAAGTGCTCGCCGTTGGATTAATCGAGCGCGAATAGAAACGATCGAGCATGGTCGGGGAATTTGCTTTATTTATTATTATTTACTATTATTTGTCTTATTTGAAAATACTTGGTGTCCCAAAAATGTCTCTATCAATTCTCGAGGTGATTTGAAGCAACTTTTTCCTTGGCGAAATTGTTCTACGAGGCTTCGTTTACGAGTTATCAACGAAAAACACTGTCCAATGAGAGGCGAGCACGGCCGGCGCTCCGCCCTCGCGGCCAATGCCGCGTCGCACCGGCCGCCTGACGCAGCGACAGTGGCCACGAGGGCGGGGCGTCAGCGTTTTTCGTTAATAACTCGTAAACGAAGCCTCGTAGAACATTTTCGCAAAGGGAAAAGTTACTTCAAATGACCTCAGGAACCCTCTCCCTCATTTCCTGACGACTCGCGCGATGAAATCTGAACAGAAGATTGAACCACATTCTGATTTTTGGTTGCAGGTTCGAGATTTGGTAGAAAGATGCACGTGCCCGACGCAGTTCCCCATGATCCGCGTGTCGGAGGGCAAGTACAGGATCGGGGACACAAAGGTGCTGATCTTCGTTAGGATTTTAAGGAGCCACGTTATGGTGCGCGTCGGCGGCGGATGGGACACTCTCAGCCATTACTTGGACAAGCACGATCCCTGTCGGTGCAGAACCTGTGAGTACCTTCGTGAACGCGTAATGTAAATAGCGAAACGTTGTCGTCGATGTTCCCGGCTACCGAGTCGATTAATTCCGTCGGTGGAATCGAATTCCAAAATGGCGCGCGACGGATGCGTAAACAGCGAGCCCGCTAATGACGCTGTTACGAGCCACGGCACTGTCGGCGACGCCGATGCGAGCGACGCTTTTACAAATGTCACGTTTGCACACAATACTCGACTATTTTTATAGTTTGCACTTGTACCTCCGGCTCGCACAATTCCATCGCGCGTTTGCCATTTTGCGAACGGCGCGTTTCGCGAAAACGGGACGACGACGATGACGACGACGTCTCCGGAGATGGCCGCTCGATCAACGTCCGATTCTTTGCGAAAAGAAGGAAAGAGAGAAAAAAGAAAGAGAAACGTCGCCCGGACCGATTGCGCAATCGTTATTATTGTTTCCTTTTTTTCACGCGTGCTCGTTTTGTCTCAGCGCACCGCTCGATGATCTCAGCGAAGCTGATTCAAAAGGCTGGAGGGTCCTTCGACCTTGGCAGCGCGCAGGTGCATTACGAGAGGTGAGTAATTTTCTGCATCTGAGGTGTCGTTTATATGTCGGCGATGGTCTTGTTATATTTTGTTCTGTTCCATTCTGTTGAATTCTGTTCAATTCTGTTCAATTCTGCTCCATTGTGTTTCATTCTGCTTCATTTTGCTCCATTCTGCTCCATTTTATCCCATTCTGCTCCATTCTGCTCAAATCTGCTCAATTCTGCTCCATTCTGTTCCATTCTACTCCATTCTACTCCATTCTGCTCCATTCTGTTCCATTCTGCTCCATTCTGTTCAATTATGTTCCACTTTGTTCCATTCTGCTCCATTCTGCTCTATTCTGCTCCATTCTGTTCCATTCTGCTCTATTTTGTTCCATTCTGCTCTATTTTGCTTCATTCTGCTCCATTCTGCTCTATTCTGCTCCATTGTGTTCCATCCTGATCAATTCTGCTCCATTCTGCTCCATTCTGTTCCATTCTGCACCATTCTGCTCCATTCTGTTCAATTCTGTTCCATTCTGCTCCATTCTGTTCAATTCTGTTCCATTATTTTTCATTCTTTTCCATTCTCTTTCATTCTTTTCCATTCTGTTCAATTCTGTTCAATTCTGTTCAATTATGTTCCATTCTTTTCAATTCCGTTCCATTCCATTCTGTTCTGCGAGCAATCTCCTACGATTTTTCCTCGGATGGGAACGGTCTCGACGAGGATCGGGAAATTATACGTGGCGTTGATAAGCGAGACGTATGCTTGATAGCCGCCGACGCGCGCCGGGAATGCTTCGATGACGGAGCCTCGCGGCTCCGCTCGCGCGCCGCCGATCTCTGCTTATTCATTAAAGATTCATCCGACCGTTTCTGCGAATCTTTAACATTAAGCCGCGCGCGTTCGCGTGGCCTGTTAACGCTTGCGTCAACAATAATTGGGGGCCTTTCGCGCAGGTATTCGTGCACGAACGCCGTGCACCGATCGTTCCCAGATCCATCGTTCCATCAACGATACTCGCGCCGCTGATTACAGTGTTCTGTCCGTAACTGTTCCAATTTCGAGGCTGCCGAGTGACAGTTACGGCGGAGGTGCTACATTAGTTTCTTGCGCTACGAACGGCGGCGAAGGGTAGCAATTAGGGATCACACGATTTCGCGCGTGTGCTCGGGATGTGCACGTGCAATTAATACACACGTACACATTTCGAATCTGATCGAAAATATTGTGGATTTATTGTAGACTCCTTATTTGTTGGGTTTCCGTTAATGAAACTTTTACCAGGATATTTGTTTCATTTCGCCGATCGAAATGACACCGAACGCGATACAATTACGATCTGAATTGCTCGCGAGTTTAGTCAATTGAAGCCCGGAACTTTAATGACTTGGCTTGGATAATTACTTATGTGTAATTGATTGTAATTATATGTGGTCAATTGTAATTATATACAATTGATATAATTGTATACAATTAATGTTATTATGTGAAATTAACATAATTATATACAATTATATAGAATTAAACAATTATACACAACGAATACAATTATTCACAATTCACACAATTATATACAATTATTTACAATTCATACAATTATATACAAACAATACAATTATATATAATTAATACGATCATACACAACTAATACAATGAATTATAATCATGAATCTCTGATATAATTAATTACAATCACATACAATGAATACAATTAAGTACAATCATGGATCTCTGACACGATCAATTACAATTACGTGTAATTATTCAAATGGATTATAATTGTACATAATTAAATGAATTAATTATAATTAACTCGAGCCCGATATTATCTTAATCAGCAAAACGAAACGAATACTTGTCGAGACCAGTATGTTAACGCTCGACTGGTTCCAAGGGGGCTCCCCCCAGTTCCGAGGATAGAATATTGTCAATTATAGTAGAGATATCTCTTTGACACTTGCGGCGAGAACACTGTAACACGGGAAGCCTTGGATCGTACATACTCCTAGATCAGGTCACACGAACGCGCTTAGGTCGCGCCAGGTCACATCAACTATCTGCTGGACCATGGTAATCAGGTTCAATCTAGCGAGCGTAATTAACCTTGTCTCGGAGTGCAAGGGAAGACCCGCGACTAACAACGGTGCAACTAACGCAAGAAGAAGGGCTGGCAAAGCGTCCACGAAAGGACACAATTCGCGTTTTCTTCGAACATTCAAATCGCAGCCGGGTTTGCAAGCGATATGCAACCTCGAGGACAATCTCAAAATCAATTAACATTTTTATTCGAAGACAAACAAAGTAAAAGTATAAAATAAGAATATAATACGTTTCATTCGATAAACATGATCCGAGGAAATATAATCGGATAAATATAATGTCCAAGAATGAAAAAGGCACAGTAATTGGTCGCCCCTCAGTAATTGGTCCCAGCACCCAAAACCGATTCAATTCGACAAAATCCTTCGATTCGACCGCACGGTGTCTCGCAGCGAATTGAACGGATCGCTTTGCGAAATGATCGCGCTGTCGTGGACAGTTTGCCAGCGTAGGCGGGAAACGTGAAAACGGTTGCTGATCCGCAGATCACCTCCTAGAACGCGGCGGAGTTCGGCGTCGAGCGTCGGCTCCTGCGCCGGCACGATGCAGCCGCAACAATCGACGCAGCTGCACGCGGCCAGGAGCATCTCGAGCAATCGTTCGCGATCGCCCACGCCCCACCAGCAACACCAGGCCGCCGGTAAGCAACCGGACGAGCAGCAGCAGCAGCAGCCGAAGAAGAGCAATCGATCGAGGAGTCCCACGCCCCAAAGGAAATTCCTCGGCAGCCCGAGCCATCAGCCCGATTTCGGGAAACAGCGGTCGAGATCGCCGACACCGAAGCCGCAGCTGCGATCGAGCAGCCCGACGACCAAGCCCGGGTCCGCGGACTCGCCCAAGAGATGCATCAACGAGGACGCGAGGTCGCCGACCCATCACCCGAAGCATCAAGAACCTAAGGTATGGTCTATGCTCTTGCTTCGATTATTCGTAGCTTCGTTGTCTAACTTGGATTTGCTCGGATGCTATGGTTCTTTAATTAATTTGTCGATTGCTTAATTAATTGATAATTAATAAGCTTAATTGATACTTTAATTACAATTATATACAATTAATGACCTTAATTGATACTTTAATTACAATTATATTTAATTAATAACCTTAATTGATACTTTAATTACAATTATATACAATTAATAACCTTTATTGATACTTTAATTACAATTATATGCAATTACTAACCTTAATTGATACTTTAATTACAATTATATACATATGTTAATATTAATATATAATATTAATACAATTATTACAATTATATACATATATTATTATTAATATATAGTATTAATACAATTATTACAATTATATACATATATTATTATTAATATACGTATACAATTATATTAATTGTATATAATTATATTAATTGTATATAATTGTATTAATTGTATATGATTATATTAATTGTATACAATCGTAATAATTGCATATAATCGTATTAATTGTATGTAATTGTATTAATCGTATATAATTGCATCAATTCCATATAATTATATTAATTCTACATAATTCTAATATTAACATTAACATTAAAGAGTCGTCTAACAAAATCGTGCATCGTTGTAACGGCGAAACGTCCTTGAAAATCGCCTGTATTCTGTCCAGGATGCTAAGAAGGATCTGCACCAGGAGATCCGCACGAAGGTGCCCCTGTCGGAGGAGTTCACGAAGAGATACGTGGTGGAGGGCGGCGTGGCTCGTCGGGCCGTGGAGAAGGACGATACCCCGAAGTACGAGCCGAGCATTTACAATTACAAGTGTCGCGAGGATTCGAGCAGCAGGAGCCCGACACCCAGCCCGCCGGCCATCAAAGAGGAGCCCGTGCTGGAGAACTTCGGCAAGGACGTCACGGGGAATCAACAGTATACGAAGTCGCCACACGGGGACGGCGAACATTCGGACAACTGCAGCGAGGTGTCCGACGAAGGGTACAGAAGTTTGGGAGCCGTGCAGCCGCCTGCCAGCAACGGCGCGACGCAAGGATCGCCCACGGTTGCCGATTGTCAAAGTGAGTCGAATTTCTGTCTTCTTGGAGAAAGGGTTATTTTGAATATAATATACAAATTATGATACAGAGTCTCGTGATTATTGGACGAGCGGGAGATGAGGGGTTCCTGAGGTCATTTGAAGCAACTTTTTCCTTTGCGGAAATGCGATGCGAGGTTTCGTTTACGAGTTATTAGCGAAAATATGCCTCGGGGCTGATGCCCCGCCCTCGCGACCACTGTCGCCGCGTCAGGCGGCCAGCGCGACGCGGCACTGGCCGCGAGGGCGGAGCGCCGGCCGCCTCTCGCCTGTCATTGGTCACTGTTTTTCGTTGATAACTCGTAAACGAAGCCTCGTAGAACATTTTCGCTAAGGAGAAAGTTGCTCCAAATGACCTCAAGAATCTCTCGTTTGCCGCTTGCATAATAATTTTGGAATAACCTGTATTAGAATTTGTAATCTAATAATCTGTGGTGAGAACACTAAGTGGAATGATTAGGTGAGTAGATCATTCGATGCAAAAATTGACCGAGAATCAGAAAAAAGGATCATTTCAACGATAATTCTTATAGTTCATTTTTTATGATTCTTTTTGTCTTCGCCCAGTCATAAAATTCCAGTCGAGCTCAGTAAAAATTTAAACGTTCGTTCACGAAAACGCGGTTCCTCGTTTCTTCTTGAATCTTTCTGATCGATGCTCGGATTGTTTCTTTCGTCGGAGTCATTAAAAGCTGAACATCTCGTCGATGTAATGCCATCTGGATCGACCCATCTCGGTTGTCCACCGTCCACTCATATTAGGAAGCAAATTCCGGTGCTGGCGACGGGCGTGGGAGTCGAAAGAGAAGCAAGAATTCGAGTCCTGTGTAGTTACAGTGGAGGATCGTTTAGTTCGTCGACATCGAGTGCCTTCGAAAACCCGACCTCTCCTTTAATTCCTAGCCACCCACGCGATGTTTACGAACGTTAGGCACGCTTACGTAGCGCCGCGTAACCGGGGGACACTTTCTTTGGCAGTCCACCTTGGTTCGGTGATGTAACTGTCCTATGATTTCGCTAAAACATACGGACACCCGGGGCCGTTCCGTTCTACGGTTCTCGAACAATTTTGCCCTGCCCCCACATATACAATATATACAATATATACAATATGTATAATATGTACAATATAAAATATACACAATATACAATATATACAATATATAATATATACAATATACAATAAATACAATATACAATATATATAATATACAATATATGCAATATACAATATATGCAATATACAATATACAATATACAATATACAATATACAATATATACAATATATAATATATAATACATTAAATAATAATATATATAGTACATATTATACACAGGGTGTCCCAAAACTATCGTACTTGCAAGAAATGGTCCCCAAAGGTTAAGGATCCAACAAACTAGATAACAAGCGCCCACCTAATTAATTAATTCACGGTACTAGGTCTCCCATAAATATATTTTCCCACAAATAGATCTCGACGAAATAGAGCCAGCAATTCTCAAAAATGCACACGATACAGTATTAGCGACGCCGTACGGCATCTCGTGCCGGCTGTTTAAAGGTTAATAAGAAACCCTGCTCGGAGCATAAACACGGGACCCGGCTCGAGACTCTCCCGCGGGGCGTGCATAGAAGACGGTTCACGGAAAAAGGCGAAAATGTCGTCGTCGTCGTAGAAAATCTCGGTACGTAACGGTTGTCCCGTATAAAATTTGCCGGAGTCCGGCGAGCAGTGCTGAACGAGCGTTTCGCAACGGCTGCGAAACGAAGGACGCATGTTAATCGGTTCGACGAGTGAAATCGCGCGTGGATCGCGATAATCCGCGTCCCGCTGCGGAGAAAACGCGCGTACCACGGGGCTTTCCGATCAAAGCCAGTCATTCAGTTTAATAGGAGCGAGTCGCGGCGGGCATGGGGGGAGGGCAGGGGGTGGCGTATCGGCGAACAAACGCCACTATTGTACGGGTTCCTCCTCTGTTTCAACTCTCCCGGGGGCCGTCGGAGATCCAGCGGGGCCCCCATCGCCCCCCCCCCCCCCCCCCCCCCCCCCCCCCCCCCCCCCCCCCCCTTTCNNNNCCCCTCCCCCCCCCCCCCGAGCCTCCCCCCGTCCAGATATGCCCAGCTTTTTCTACTCGGTTCCCACTTTCCGACGCGTTCGAGGAGCGGCGGCCGTTGAAGCGCACTTCGCAGAGGACGCGTCGCCCTAACCGTTTCGCTTTGAAGTCGATTCTCTTTTTTTTTTCTTGTTTCGGACACGAGGGGGCGAGTGCGGACGATTCGCGGCGCGCAACACACCTTCGGGAACGACGGTGCACGGGACACGAAGGGGATTCGAATCTTAATACACCTCCGGAACGAGTGTTTATCTTCGCTCCGCCATCTTGGCGGTCGGATCGATTCTTCGGGTCGAATTGTTCGAGACATAATTGTTAGGCAATTGTTGAAATCGAAATTAAAACCACGCGAATTTATGGAACGATCCTAATATTACAGAATATATATATTTGTAATAATAATAATTGTTATATTATATATATATAATACAATTATAATATATACGTAATTGTAAATAATATAATCATATATAATATAATTATAAACAATGTAATTACATATAATGCAATTATAACAATTATTATATTATTATGTAATTATAAATAATATAATTACATATAATGCAATTATAACAATTACTATATTATTATATAATTATAATAATATTATTATATTATATATATAATTATATATATATAAATAATATAAATATGAATATAAACATCGGCCACGTAAATTGTGTAAAGAATTGCCCCCAGAACGCGAACAATTAGGGTGAAAATATCGCACTTGTTTGGACAAAAGGGGACTCTCGGAAGAAAAATGTGTTTCCCTCTCAGTAGAACGAAAATTCGGGTCGCTTTGTAGAAGGGTCGAACCTCGAAGATGCCGTGGAAGGAAAAGGTGGACTAGAAGCCTCCTCGTGGCCGCCGGGAAGCCCCTCTCGAGGCGTGAAAGATCGCCACGCGTCAAGTGCGTCAAGCTTCGAGCCGCTCGGCACTCGTACGCGAGCTGTATTCGATCCGAGCGTTATCGAGAATCGACTGGCGATTGTTCCGAGGACAGGTTGTTGTTGGAGATCGCCTACGCTCCTCAACACACCGGGACCCCTCGCCCCCCGGCTCGTATAATCCGTCGGAGCCGGCTAAATGTCAAGCCGGCCTCTGTAACGCGCGTCCCTAGCCAACGTGCGGCTCGTGTACTTTGAATATTAATCAGCTACAGGGTGGTCCAAAAGCTGGACAACTCGGAAAAGCAGAGTTATCGATATGTGCTCGTCGCGCTACCGAGAAGACTCGGGGCCCGCGTCGATTAGCGCCTCGACGAAAACGTAACGAAGTCAACGTAACGAAATCTGGGAATTCGGGTTTCTGAGGTCATTTGGAGTAACTTTTTCCTTTACGAAAATGTTCTACGAGGCTTCGTTTACGAGTTATTAACGAAAAACAGTGACCAATAAGAGATGAGAGGCGACCGGTGCTCCGACCTCGCGGCCAATGCCGCGTCGCGCTGGTCAGCTGACGCAGCGGTAGTGGTCGCGAGGGCGGAGCGTCGGCCGCACACGATCTTTCACTGATCAGCGTTTTTCGTTAATAACTCGTAAACGAAGCCTCGTAGAACATTTTCGCAGAGGAAAAAGTTGCTTCAAATGACCCCAGGACCCCAATTTCCCATATCGCGAGACATTTTTGGCACACCCTGCACATTATTCCATAAGAACAAGATCTATTTAGCATCTATAGCATCAGAAATTGTAAATAAAAAAACGATAATCCAGTCATTTTTACAGGTTCGATACTTCTATTCCAAAAAAAATTGATTCCATTTTAAAATGATTACGATCACTTTTCCGGGCCGCAGTAAGGCCCACTCCCCCAAAGAGCCATCAAAAAAACCCCGTGCACACCGACGAACAACAAAACCGTTGCATACTGTTTCAGAGCAACCCGCCAAGCTGGAGCCGGAGGATCGGTCCTGCGTGGAGACGGAGAGCATCGAGACGGGTCTGCGTAAGACCCGTATCGGGCCGGCGAGCCCTCTGCGGGCCTCCCCGTCTCGAAGCGTGGCGTCCTCCTCGGGCGACAGGACTCCGCGCGCGGGGAGCATAGTCCGCGAGAACAGCAACGTGTCGCGGGGCTCGTCGGGCAGCAGGACCCCGCGCGAGAGCAACTCGAGCCCGGAGGGTAGCCCGTTGAAGCGCGGGGCAGCGCGGAACAGTCTGCGCAAGCCGCCGACGGGCAGCCTGAGCAAGGCGTCACCGGTGCCGAAGAGCTGCCAGTCGCCGGTCAGCGGCAGCAACACGTGGAACGGCAGGCAGGTGCGGCAGAGGCCGAGCATCCAGTCGGACACGTTCCTGAGCCCGCAGGTGGCGGGGAGCTGCGGGGCCGCGGCGAGCTTCTCGCGGAAGAGCCCGGCGAGGCAGAGCCTGCCGAGGCAGAACTCGAGCAACGGGGTGCAGTACGACAGGAACGGCAGGCGGGTGAAGCCGTCCAGCACCGGCTCCCTGCAGTCCTCGCCCACGAAGGTGGCGAACCCGCTGCTCGAGCAGATCCTGCAGAAGGTCGGCCACCTGCAGGACGAGCGGGAGGTCGTGCAGAAGCTGCAGGACCTGCTCAGGGACTACCAGAGCCACGGCGGGGACGGAGTGGCGAATCTCGAGTTCACCAGGGCGTGGATCGACGGGAACGGGACCGTGGTGCTGCCGCAGGACAGCCAGACGGCGGCGAGTCCCAGGAAGGACCCGAAACCGGCCTCCGAGAGGGGCGGATACTCCAGGATACCGGCGCCGGTCTACAAGAGGCCCATGTCGGTCGCGTCCGACAGCGTCTGAGCCAGGCCCCGGTGCCCGAGGAAGAGGGCGAGTACGTCCAGATGAAGGTGGGCCCCGCGACGCCTCATCGGGCCGCCCGGGAAGCAACGGACCGCGGCGTGTTCGGGCCCGGCGAACGATTCGCGAAAATCCGCCGAGCGGTTCGCCCCGGAGGGCTGGCCCAGCTGCCCGCAGATCGCCGCGGCAGGGCCCCGGGGAGGCCCCCGCTCTCAGGGGTAAGTTGGAAAGGGTGCGCGAGCGGTTCTCGGTGATAGAATTAGTTTTCGATTCGATTTAGACGATTGTACGAGCTCGTTGGAGGCGACCGGGACCGCCGGGGCACGCCTTCTCCTTCGAATCCCGCGTTCCGGCGACCGAAAATCGGTCCCCGGCGAACAGAGACGCGCTCTGGGCCCGACGGCTCTCGGCTATGGTCACGATAGAGCTAGTTTTCGAGCGAATTTAAATGCGATTCCCCCGGCAATCGGTGTCCCGCGGGGGAAGACAATCTCTTTTTATCCGGGCGAACGTTGTCGGGCCGAGAGCCACTGGCCCAGAGTCCGCTGATCGGAGCTTCGACGCGCCGCACGGTGGGCCCGATCGAGAAATTCGAAGACATTCTGTTGTAACTTCTGAACCGTTGAAGATATTCCAGTGAAATTTTCAGCAGAAATATTTTTTAAATAGTCGTTTTTAACTGTAGATAGTTAAACGTTTTCCGCGTTTGTTGAACAATAATTTTTAATTAATTTTCATCGACATGTTTGGTGAAAGAGGAAGAATTATTTGTAACATTATAGAGACATTAATAAAAGGTCGCTGAAATCTTCGGATCGGGCCCACCGGGCGCCGCTTCGCGGCTTCTTTTCCGACGTTTTATGCGATCGCGAGGAACGCGAGGAAGCCGGGAGGCGAATTTCGCCGACGGAATGCGAATTCCGCGGCGTTTAAAAGAGCGGACTGCCTGGCCGCCGCGGCGGACAGCTCGCGACAGGGTCCGCGGCTGGGAACAGGCTCGGGGACGGGGGCCCGACCCGGGCCTCGCCTAACAGAGCAATTAAACGAGAGCCGGCCTAAGTCGCGTGGGCGGCCCGATGGAGCCCGCTGGCTTTGGGAGAGCCGTTTCGGCCCGATGAACGGCGCTCTCGCCGCTCGGCTCGCGTCGCTTCTGGCCCCTCGTTCCGCGTCGCGCCGCCGAGCGGAGCCGAGCGGAGCCGAGCCGAGCCGCAGATCGAAGGCGTCCGATTAGAGGGAGAGAAGTTAACGGGCCTTAACGGTACGGGGTCGATCAGTTAGCGGCCCCGTGTAGGAGTCACGCGTAGAATCGGGGTGGTGCTTGGAAAGATTGGTGCTCGAAACAGAAAAGGGGGAAAGGGGAGGGGAGGAAGAAGATAGAGAACGGTTGACGTCTCTCGCGATCCGCGAGAACAGATTACGCGCGAGAAGAGACCGATACAGGAGAAAACGAGAATGAAGAAAAACGGGGACGCATATACATATTATAAGCGGAGAACTCGTCCTGGATCCTGGCGGGGCCGGATCGGGGGGAGGGGAGTCGTCGTTTCAATTGGTTGGCACGGAATTCAAGCGGGCAATTAGCCGGCGCGGGGTCTTGCGTTAATGGCTTCCCGATCGATTTGCTTCCAGTCAGTTAAATTGCGACCCGGCTGACAGCTCGGCGATTGATCCGAGACGAGAGAGATTACGCCTTGCGACGCGGACACGCGCGATACGCTTCGCCTCCCGTCAATCGCGGGGATCCACTCGCCGGCTTAGCGTGATCGATAATCCGCCGGTTTTCGCGGATCCGCGGTTCTACGAAAGCCGTTTCCCGCGGATCAGGCATCTCGCGCGATCGCTTTCTACAGCGCGACGATTCCGTCGTTCGCTGCCCTCGCCGAGTCGATTCGCCGTTTGCTTTTATAACCCTCTATTTTGACGTTCTCCTTTTTATTACAACGATTCGGAGATTTTTCTTATCGCCTCTTCGAAGAAAAATATATGTATTTTTTTACTTTTATTTTAATCTCAATTTGGAAGAACGAATGATATCTTTTTAATACCTTCGGAGCCGTAATTCTTAAAATACAGGTGACCCTCTTGTAACACGGTGATTAGGTTCCTGAAAAATGCCATGTTTCGTGAAACCGTGTCACACCAGAGTCAGTGCAATAAGGGGTGCGAAAACTTATTATTAACCCTTTGCACTCGAGTGACGACTCTGAGACGCCGCTAAAAATTGCTACACCATTTCTCAAAATAACAGTATCAGATTTGTTTATATGTTTTAAAAAGCTGTTAAAATTTCTAATATTGTACTTGCTAAGCTCAATTTTATACGCACAGATCGCAATAGATCGTGTAAAATAGAAATACTGTAGATCAGAAATTTCAAATTAAAACAGCTTCGAGCGCAAAGGGTTGAAACTAGATTTACGGAACAAATCGTCACAAATCAAACTCCTGACAAGGGGTTAACCCAGCAAGGGATTAAAACAATCGCTGTATTCCTCGTGAAATTATTTCCAAAATCCTTTTTCATCTAGAACATTCTTCGCGTAAAAAAATAACGCGCCGTTAAAATTCGAGAACTCGGCGAAACGGAGCTTCGATCCAAAGATTCCTCGGAACGAACGCTAAAAAACAAGAGTTTAAGAAACCTAAACGTTTCGAAAACCCGCGAGAATTCTTCTGAAAGAAGAATTTAACGCGAGAATCGTTGTGCGCCGAGATTTTGAGTCGCCGAAGGCTTTCGAAGCGGCGGAAACCGGAATCGATCACGCGGCGGCCCGTCGAGCTCGCCGTTGCCGGGAGGAAAAAAGTACCCCGCGGTCGCGATTTCTTTAGCTTGGTAACCGCGATCGGCGAGCAGAGATCGAGCGATCCCTCGGCGGCTTTAAATACGGCCGCGATCGAGGCGAGGGCAACATTTTATCGTTCCGATCGAGAGAAGTCCGAGCGGAGCGCTCTCTCGGCGCGTCCGCGCGGCAGACGACGACGCGCTAATTAAATTTCTTCGTCGGACTTCGTCGATCTTACCGGAGAATGTTGCACGCGGCTCGATCGGGACGGGATCGATCGATCGATCCGCTCGCCGATCGACGCGGGCCCGATTTCTACGTTTCGACGCATCGCTCGATCACGGCAAATTATTTATTTATATAGTCTATCGGTTGTATTTATTGAAGACGATTTATTTACGCGTTGAGGGAGGCTGAGGGAGGGTTTCTACGGAGGTGGAAGAGAGTGGAGGGGGGGATGGAGGACCGAACAGGGTCCTCGTCAAGGCGACGAATCGAAACGTCCCCGGAAATCGGACGGAAGAGGAAAACATTCGAAAACAGACTGCATTAATGTAGATAGATGACGACGTCGAACGAAATGCCATTCCAATGTTTCACTGTTTTTTATACCAAACGCGAGCGTAGCGCCATTTTGTAATCAAGTGTCTTGTCGGGAGATGGCGGCCGGGGGCGTGGCGTTCCGGGCTCCGCCGAGATTCGCGTGGACATAGGCGGCGGAGACGGTCGGGCCTCCTGCGAAATTGAACGGCACTGGTTTCGAGGGATCGGAGAATTTTTTAGCAGGGGAAAAACACGCGCCTTCGCCTTCGTCGAGACGGATTTCGCGAACGTAGATTTCTCACCAGTCAGCTGTGGCGCCGCCTTTGCTGAGCGCGCGACGATTCCTGTCGAAATATTGGATCGAAAAGACGGTTTCATTTTATAAAGTTAACAATTTTATCGTCTAATATTTTCTTGTTCACTTGACATTAATATACACTGCATGATAAACAGAAAATAGAGGAAAGATCGAATACTAAGTTAAAAATTCAAGTTGCTGCTGTAGTGAGTCGAACGGCTATATAGTGATTTTTTTATAGCGATTCTACACCTTCGTGTGGGATCATCGGTCTGAAAATATTCTAAACGCCTTGAGATTTGAGAATATGTTCTCGTTTTCGCTGTAATTACAATTTAACCGCGACTAATGTGTGCAGTTCTCTAAGAATGCAAACACTAGATTTATTTAAACTAAAATCGACAGTTTAAATAAATAAATAAAGCAGAGTGATTGACACTATGATTTATATTATAATAAATACTTCAGTAAGAAATCATCAGGAACTGTAAAAGCTGAAAAAAAGTCAGGAGCCAGTCGCCTCGACTCGTTTGTGGCAGTTCTATCGTTAAGTAGCCAATAATTGCTTTCGACGAGTATACTCGTCGCGACGAGAACCACTGCCACGACGAGTATACTCGTCGGAACACGGCTGTCTGGTGGAAACCGAACTTTCGCGAGCGGCGGAGGCCGTTCTGCGCCGTTCTGCCGACGATAAAAAGTGTTCACGCTGCTCGGAAAGTCGCGACAACTCTTTCCTAAAATTAGGAAAACAAGGTCCGCCATGGACGGGCACGTTCAGTTTTGCAAGAACCGATCCGTTTCTGCGTCCCACGGAGACCGAAACGGCGATATCGAGCGCGATTCGACTCCGATTTGAATAAAAATGCGACACCGATCTCGCGCTGCCCACGTCCAGAATCTTTCGAAACCGGGCCCGATACGCGCGAATGAAACTCGGCGGGCTCGCGAACAAGCTCAAACCGTCGAACAGATATTTTTTATAACGCCGCCTCGGCGGGGAATCGTCTCCGGGCCGGGAAAAGCCGCGCCGAGTTTCGAAGAGCCTTCGGCGGGTCGCGCGACACGCGCCGATCGCCGTGAAACGATTCGCGGATCGCGCGAACACGCTTCACGTGGCTTCGCGTGAGGCGAAAGGGTTGCTTTCGCGAGGATTCGAATCGCGCGAGAAACACGGTCTTGGAAAGGATCGGCTGTTTTATTCGGGATTCTGGACGACGCCTCGCGCGCGCAGCCGAATCTCCCGAACGAGATCGAGCGCGTAGATGAGGCCCCCGGCTTCAGGCTCCCGGCGTTCGGCCCGGGAGACGAGAAAAAGTTTATTTTGTTGACGGAGATGTTCCCTGGAGCGATCGCGAGAACGCGCGGGACGAGATTTATTTTTCTGCAGGGCGTGTTTTAGGCGGCCGAGGAGGAAAAAGGAGCGCGTCGCCGTGGCTTCCGCGCGGATCGAGGCGCGTGGATCTGCTTTCTGTGCTCGAACGGTCGCCGGGATCGGTTTCCCGGAGACTTTTGCATGCGGAGGAGAGAAGGGGCGATTTTTTTGGCCGGAGACGCTCCGTCGGGACGCGTCCCCGACGGAGAATTCTCGACGATCAGCCGTCCACGAAATGTTCTCAGAGATGTTCTCAAAAAGATGGCGGAGGCCACGGCCGCGTAACCACGGTCGAGTTTGGAAAAATTGCTCGCGGATTTCGCGGGGGGAAAGGGGGTGGTTTGGTGCACCCGCTCGACCTTTAGAGCCTATGCTTCGTAACCCCGAAGGCTGGCGCGGTTGCGCCGCGAAACGACGAATAAATAATAAACCGACGACTACCAATATTAATATTATTATTGCAGCCAGATGCAACTATTGCTATTATTACTACGATAATTATTATTATTATTATTATTATTGCGATGATTATTATTATTATCATTATTGGTCAGGCGGATAATGATAATTGATTAATATGATTATTATATGCAACGTTGAGTATGTTACGTTTATCATTTTATCTACGAGAAGTTGTAAATTGAGAGGAAACTTGCATAAGAAAACGAACAATAAAAAAAAACAATAAAAAGCTTTAACGAAACGACGAGGCGTTTCAATTCTCCTGCGATCCTTTCGTCCATTTCACGATTATCCTTGACGATGGGTGTTCGGACAGCGAGTCGAAGGGACAACAGGTATAGTAACTTCTCCCGGAAATGCCAAATTCAGGGTTGCTGTGAATTTCCCTGTGCTGATCCTGCGCCTATGTAATTTATTGCTACGTCGACTTTTTTACCGACTGCCCTGAATTTCTATAAAANGTGGCAGTTATCCCCGAAGGTCTGATCGAGACCGTGGAACGAGTAATTCGAGGGGTGTGGGAGGGACGGACGAGCCTTTATCCGGTCGGTTTATCAAGCCATAGCGACGCGACGCGTGCAATTGCGCGCAATGAGTGAGCGGATAATGTTGTTCGAATGTCGCACGCTTATCACGCGAATGTAATGGAACGGCGCGAACAGCGTGCGAGAGCACACGTCACAAAGCGAGCATTCGAATTAATCCGTAATAACGGCTGGTAAACGTACGCGTTCCGATCCGCGCTCGAATTCGAGCTTCGGCGTTGTGTTCTTCTTTCTTTCCAGCGAAATCCCCGACCGGCCGATCCAGGGATACGCGCGCAGTGCAGTAATTTTCTCCCGGAAATGCCAAATCTCGGGTTGCTGTGAATTTCCCTGTGCTGATCCTGCGCCTATGTAATTTATTGCTACGTCGACTTTTTTACCGACTGCCCTGAATTTCTATAAAAAGAAACCGCTTGGCCCGAAGAATCGTGACTTAGTATTCTCTAATCCGCCGGTTTCAATTCCGAGCACCGAGCATTTCCGGGAGAAATGAGCGTGCGCTGGAAAAATGGCAACTGATTCGCGCAAGGTAAGTCCGCTTCGCGCTAACAATCTTCGAACGGGACACCATCGACAGCGATCTTAAGCGGTGCACTTGGCTTTGCGGCGCGCCGGTTGCATCGTTCCAGAGCTTTACCCTCTAAGCGCAGGTAAGTGCATGCGCAAGGCCCGTTACGAAGCCCAATGCACCACAGCGATCGGCGTCCTTGCCGCATATGGCGAGACAGCTCTCCCTCTCGGACACGGACGGCCGACCAACAATGATCCTCGTTCGTGTGCGTGCAAGTCGGCGACGCTCGCGTGCGCGCGCGCGGCTGTTTTCTGCGGGCATCTCGGAAGAGAGCCGTTTTTAAAACGTCCGGCCGCGATGCCGGAGATTTATGACGGGCCTTGGTAGCCTCGATAATAACAGTGACGACTCCGAGCACGAGCGTCGGGGTGGAAACAATATGCGCGAGGGCTATTTTCCAGCTTCATCAATGATTCATGTTAAAATCAACCCTTTTATTCGTACCAGTCCCTCCACGAAAGGGGGGAGACCACTCGTTACTCGTAATAATCGTTTTATCTCTGTAATTGCGGCATCGATGAATAGCTGAGATTCTCCCGATTAAAATGAGCCCAAACACGACGCGAATCGGATTAATTTGGGCTGCTAGGCAATCTACAGGGTGAACTAAATAACTCGATCGCTTCAAGTAGTCTGATATTCATTATTTCGAAGAAACGACAATGCAATGTTATTCCAAATAGTATTCCATTTGTCATCTGAGCATATTATCGAAAACGAGTAAAATATACAAAGCGATGAATTTATATTTCGGACACCCGATGCACAGCGGTAAGCAGTTCCATAAAGCTAGTCCGATTTGCACCGTGTTTGGACTCATTTTAACGAGAAAAATCTCAGCTCTCCGATGGTGTCACGATTATAACATTACCGTTTGTCAACAACTATAAAAACTCTTCCCAAATTGTCCACTATTGTTTCCAAGCCTTTCTCGTTTCAATCGAGGAAAATTCATCGTGTTCCCATGACGGAGCCGTCCATTTCTGTCAGCTCGGAGAGCTTCGAACAGTCAGCCAATTGAACTTGTTTGGACTGTCGGGGGCCCTCGGAGAAACGGGTCCACGCCTAGGTCCCCGAGGGCCTCACCCGGAGACCCACCAAGTCGCGGGGACATTAGAGACATCGAGCCCGGTCCCCTCGCCGGCATTACCTCGATTCCCTTCAGAATCCACGCCAATTACATCCATAATGAACAATGCCCGAAGGAGATCGGCGGGCATAATGGTGAGCCGAGAAACGACGGAAGAATAAATTGGATAATTGTGATTAATGCGGGCCCCGCGATGCGCGACGCGCGCCGTCTCTGCGCAGAGCCGGCGGGGCAGCGGGGCCCCGGGACGATTTGTCAACGTTCGGAATTTTAATAGTCCCGGCCGGCGGAGGTCTGCGCGCTTTCGGTATTATGTTTCGCGGCTTTTTTTCTTGCCGTGGCCGCGGCGCGCCGCCAGGTAATAACGCCTCGCGTCCAGGTGAAAGTACTCCCACGCTCCCGCGTTGATGACCTTAACTCCTCCGCCGGCCGGGCCGAATTTACGTCACAATTTTCGTGCCGCGAAAATCCCCCAGAAATAGAAACCCCGACGCGCCGGGATTTCACCTCGCCGGGCATAAATTTCCTCCTCCGCGGTTGCGCAACCGCGCACAGGTGCGCCTTTTGTCTCTCTTTATCTCTCCCCTCCTCTCTCTATCTTTCTCTCTCTCTCTCTCTCTCTTTCTCTCTCTTTCTCGCTCGGTCTCCCGTTATTTTGAATCGCGCCGATGGGAAACGGGGGGGCCCCCCGTCTGCTTTTCCAGCCGCGATGCTATCGGGCCCCCCGATCAAATTTAATGGCGACAGTGGACGGTAAAGTTGCGCCGAGAAATTTCATGCGATAGACCCCGACCAGTTCCTCGTTGGCATTTTCAACGCGGCCCGACAAATCCGGTATTATCGGCCGGTCCTCTCGAAGCCCCCGTGCTTTCTCGTTAGCAACTCTGTTCGACCCGGCCCGGCCCGGCCCCGTCGTCCTCCGCGCCGCCGTTTTCCGGCTCCTTTTGTCTTGCCGAAAACGCTGGAAGAGGAAGAACCGGACCGGTCATGCGATATAAACTTCCTGCGGGTCGCTACTCGAGCCGCGTGCGAACCGGAATCCACCGCGAAAAACTTCTATGCCGTTTCCGGCCTGTTGGCCGCAACATTGCCGCGCCGCGCCGCGCCGGCCCGCAGATTAACGAGCTACTCGCTCGAACAAAATTCAATCGCGTCGGCTGCTGCTCGCGTTCTGGGTTTCACTTTTAACGGCTTCGCTGCCTCGCTTGATGTCGTACGTCATGAAATGGACGTCTTTGAGACGTCTTGTTTCAGGCGTTAAGGGGACGTCCAATTTGGAACGTCTTTAAGACGTCTTAATGATGTCCATTTTACGTCCATTTTAGGTTTGAATGTCGTACGTCATGAAATGGATGTCTTTGAGACGTCTTGTTCCAGGCGTTAAGAGGACGTCCAATTTGGAACGTCTTTAAGACGTCTTTTAGACGTCCCAAAACAGATGTCTGAAGTAATACGTTTCCTTAAGACGTATATTTTAGGGCGTACGACATTTGAAGCTGTATTGGACGGAAAATGGATGTCGTTAAGACGTCTTAAAGACGTTCCAAATTGTACGTCCTCTTAATGTCTGAAACAAGACGTCTCGAAGACGTCCGCTTTAGGTCGTACGACGTTCAAACCTAAAATGGACGTCTTTCAGCAGTTTTGATTGCTCTTTGCCAAGAAGGTATAATAGTATTATATATATTACTATATATATTATTATATATAATACTATATATATATAAGTATCATAGATACTTCACTATCTCACTGGTATTACTTCTCGTTCGCATGAAATAAATATTTCGGTGTCCATTACGTTATCTAGAAACATCAATCTGCAGCATAAATATTCAACGATATCGCACTTTTCAGTTGCAATAAAATCGACGTTACAAACGTTGCAAATCCAATTTGATTCAGCGCAGAGTTTTTTTAACGGCGGTCCCATCGTTGCTCCGCAATTTTACAACCGCGCTCTGGAATGCGGTGGTTAATTAACGAACAGAGACGGTGGCAACGGCAACAGCAACAGCAAACAGACACGATTTTTCGCTTTCTCCGGTGTCACGAATTATTCCCGGCCAATCGGACAATCGCGTCCGTCGCGATTTGAAAGCGGCAATCTCGAACGCGATTGAATAAGAGGGTCCACGCCAAGGAGAGGCACCTCTCGGACTCCCCGTGGGTACAGGCGGTTTCATAACACGTGGGCGCAATCTTCGGGACATGCAAATGTCTTAATAACTCGGCCGCGGACTTCTGTATCTTCGTTCCTGGTGGCTTCGTTAATGCGTTCGCCGTATCGCCGGCCGGGCCCGCCACTCCGCTTTAATTGGTGAAATTCTCGGTAAAATGTAATTGGCCCGCCAAGGACATCCCGCGGGATGAGGAGGGTCGCTCCACCGGAACGTAACTCAATCGCGGCCGTCGCGTATCGGAGGGAACGCTCTGCTGCCGGCAAATCGCATTCGCTAAACAGCCTATAGTGGTCCCCCGCTTATATTTTTTATAGTCCCGCGCCGTATAGATGAAGACGTTAATGGCGGCCTGTTTCCCCTAATCGAGCGTCGACCATAATTTCGACCGCTTCTCGCCTGTCGCACGATCTTCGCGCTTCGCGGGATTGTATTTTAGTATTAACGATTCTGATTATAAATAGAATACAGAATAGAATATTATTATTAAGTATTAACTATAGAATATTAGAACAGTAGAATATTATCAAGTATTAACGATTCTGATTATAAATAGAATAAAGAATAGAATATTATTATTAAGTATTAACTGTAGAATATTATCAAGTATTAACGATTCTGATTATAAATAGAATAAAGAATAGAATATTATTATTAAGTATTAACTGTAGAATATTATCAAGTATTAACGATTCTGATTATAAATAGAATAAAGAATAGAATATTATTATTAAGTATTAACTGTAGAATATTATCAAGTATTAACGATTCTGATTATAAATAGAATAAAGAATAGAATATTATTATTAAGTATTAACAGTAGAATATTAGAACAATGGGATATTATCAAGTATT